GCTTCATTTAGCAGCAGTAGCGAAGGAATCGCTCCATCGGGTTCAGTTAACAGCCATCGATCGATCGCTCGGGTTCAGTAACGCGTAGCCTATAGTGCAATCGCTCGGGTTCAGTTAGAGCCCAACGCCTCGCTCGGCTTCAGTTAGAGCCAACACCTCGCACACACACGCGCGTACGTACGAGAGAAACGCGCATCGCTCGGCCCCCGACCTCCCACCATAACTGGCAACTCCCCGAAATTTTCCTCCCCCTCGCTTCTACCACGGTTTTTTCCGTCATGGATAGCCCAAAGAATGTCATGCAGCTGAGTCTCCGGCCCGCCCAGGACGAAAACCCCATTTTCTGTCATGATTTTTTGTCATAGAAGTAGGAGCCCACCACATCTATGATGATACCGGGTTTTGTCACAATTATCGTCATAGAAGTGTCATATGTATGACATAAAAAAATTTCGTTCAGCCCAAAATGTCACGGATGTGTCTTTTTTTTTGTAGTGGGGGGCGGCGGCCAAGGGGGGCACCCCCTTTAGGGTTCCCCCAATCCTAGGCGCATGGGCCCTAGGGGGGGTTTGCGCCCAGCCCACTTAGGGGCTGGTTCCCCTCCATATTCAACCCATAGGGCCCTCCGGGGCAGGTGGACCCTCTCGGTGGACCCCCGGAACCCTTTCGGTGGTCCCGGTACAATACCGATAAACCCCCGAACACTTCATGTGACCGAATAAAGACTTCCCATATATAAATCTTTGTCCCCGGACCATTCCGGAACTCCTCGTGATGTCCGGGATCTCATCCGGGACTCTGAACAACATTCGGTAACTGCATACTAATTCCCATAACAACTCTAGCATCATCGAACCTTAAGTGTGTAGACCCTACGGGTTCAGGAGTCATGCAGACATGACCGAGACAGCTCTCCGGCCAATAACCAACAACGGGATCTGGATACCCATGTTGGCTCCCACATGTTCCACGATGATCTCATCGAATGAACCACGATGTCGGGGGTTCAATCAATCTCGCATACAATTTCCTTTGTCAATCGGTATGTTACTTGCCTGGGATTTGATCGTCGGTATCCCAATACCTCATTCAATCTCGTTACCGGCAAGTCGCTTTACTCGTTCCATAATGCATGATCCCGTGACTAACTACTTAGTCACATTGAGCTCATTATGATGATGCATTACCGAGTGGGCCCAGAGATACCTCTTCGTCATACGGAGTGACAAATCCCAGTCTTGATTCGTGCCAACCCAACAGACACTTTCGGAGATACTTGTAGTGTACCTTTATAGCCACCCAGTTACTTGTGACGTTTGGTACACCTAAAGCATTCCTACGGTATCCGGGAGTTGCACAATCTCATGGTCTAAGGAAATGATACTTGACATTAGAAAAGCTTTTAGCAAACGAACTACACGATCTTGTGCTATACTTAGGATTGGGTCTTGTCCATCACATCATTCTCCTAATGATGTGATCCGGTTATCAATGATATCTAATGTCCATGATCGGGAAACCATGACCATCTATTGATCAACGAGCTAGTCAACTAGAGGCTCACTAGGGACATGTTGTGCTCTATGTATTCACACATGTATTATGGTTTCCGGTTAATACAATTATAGCATGAACAATAGACAATTATCATGAACAAGGAAATATAATAATAACCATTTTATTATTGCCTCTAGGGCATATTTCCACAAAAACACCTGGGGATGGCCTGTTGGGGACGCGGCTAGAGATGCTCTAAGCTCGATGGACTGAAGCACTATACCAAAAGTTGTCACTAGCAACCACAAGTCCACAACAAAGATCAAGAGTGCTACGAACCGAGTCACCGGGCAATGACCTCATGAACATAGGGATCATGACCTCCGAAGAAATTCACACCACCCACGCATCAAATCTTTGATCAACTCAGTATCTTGTTTATCCAGGAAATTAGTTGTACGCCTTACGAATGCAGTTCTCAGAAGGTAATCGAATAAATGACAGAAGGTGTATGATTGGTACAGATACTAATATTTGCAGTATATAAATGTCGAATCCATATCCACAAGATTATACTATGTACATTGCACGCACAAAAATTAAGGGTTGTATGTACAACAACCATGCATGTGTTGTTGTTGTCTCAGCAGGGCTTGGGATCTACGTTGGTGCCAGATTCGGTTAGCTTGGCGTTGTTGCATACACTTGTTGCAGAAGCGTGCTTGTGGTTGTGCCCACGGTCATGAAAAGTAAGCTTCACGTCTTGCAACAATATATCGCGGCATGGGACGGTGTCGCTGCAGTCCAGCTTGATAGCCTCTTTCGTCGCGCTCGTGCCCCTTATGTTCTTGAACCGAATGTTGCTGAACTCCACCGCCGAAGTTTGTTTCTTGCACGGCTTAGGGTTGGCGGGATCGACCGATGTGCAGTAGTTCTGGTCGATGATTATGGGGTTATGGACCTCCTCCATGGTTATGTCCTCGAACGTGACGTCCTTGGCGTACCCTTTTCCTCCCTGCCACGACTTCATGCGCACGCCGTTGGTCGTGCCGGAGAGGTGCGCCTTGTAGACTGTTATGTTAGAGACTCGAGCCTCGGAGTTGTCGTCGCCTAAGCTCCCGATGCTGATCCCGTGTCCCGGGCCACAGGTTATCCTCGAAGCGTAGAGGTTTTCGGTTCCGGTCTCGATGGACATGCAGTCGTCCCCTGTTTTAATGTCGCAATCCAGGACCTGGATGTCCTTGGTGCGCGCAATGTGGATGCCGTCGTTCATGGGGCTGTCGCCGGGGGCGGTGATGGTGATGCCCTTTAGGAGCACGTCCTGGCAGTCCTCGACCGACATGTGGATCTGCTGGCTGTTGAGTAGCTGGATGTTCTCCACCGTGAGGTTGTTGCACCTGCTGAGCAGCAGCGCCATCGGGGCGTTGGCGCACTTGAGCTTCTTGTCCACCCGGCACGAGCTCTTCCACCACGTCTCGCCGTTGCCGTCGATGGTCCCGTCGCCGGTCACGGTGAGCCCGTCGACGTTGCGGAACATGATCCACCACCTCATGTTCTCCTCGGGCCACGCCGATCGGCTGGCGGGCGCCACCAGCTTGCCGTCGAGCCTGAAGGTGACGGGGGACTTGCACTTGCCCGAGAAGGTGGTCTGCTTCACGAGGTACGTCTTCTCCCTGGGGACCACGAGGGTGGCCGGCTGAGGCGAGGAGCAAGCGGCGGCCCATGCTTCCCGGAACGCCGGCGTGTCGTCCTGTTGGCCGTCACCGACGGCTCCGTAGCTCGCCACGTCGACCTCGACGGCGCTTTCACCACTCTGAGAAGAAGGCTCGGGAGAGGGCGCGGGAGAAGGCCCCGGAGAAGGTGCGGGAGAAGGCCCGGGAGAGGGCTCGAGTAGCTTGCGGTGGCGCCCGGCAGCAGCTGCCGCTCTGTGGTGGTAGCTGCGTAGGTCGAGCTTGCTGGTCTGATCAGGCATGATCTTCTTCCGCCTTAGGTTGGGGCGAACGTCGTCGTTGCTGGTGGTACGTCTACCGCCGGCGGCGGCGGTGGCGATGCTGTCTGCGTGAGCAATGGCCGGCACCAGGAGGAGCAATAACAGCACGAGGATCAGAACTGTCGCCAACACTACCAGCGCACGGCGGAAGGCGGCCATGTATCGGCTATGTGTTGCGATTTGTGCTCGCGCGCGTGATACAACCAAAGCTAGCTACGTTGGATTTGGTAAGCAGCTAGCTAGGCTATGTTGTCTTGCTTCTATTCATGGTACGTAGCTACCTACGTTGGAGTATATATATATATATATATATATATATATATATATATAAACTGACTACTAGTAAAGTTCCTAGAAAAGATCGTAACAAATTAAAACGGTTACTAAATCTGCTAGCACCGGCCACTCAGGCAACCATGTTACTAGTAAAACTCCTTGACAAATATAGTAATATAACTAACTTGATTACCCTGTACGCTCCTACTACTAGTAAAACGCATGCCAAAAAAGTGTTGAATGGTAATTGTATTACGATTCGAAACGAACCTATTCCTATCTAGGTGGTAATCACATTACTACTATCTTCTATTCGTTACTACCTGGCCATACAAATCCATTAGCTCCTAGTAGGTAGTAATTACATTACTACTTCCTTCATACGGTTTACTACCGGACCTTACAAGATATGTCCCGTAAAGTATGTTTCTTTTATTACTATATTTTATTTTCTAATTACGTTGGAGTTACTGATACAAGGGCCTCGGATGGGGGGTTGAGTCAGCCTAATTAGGCGGTTCGCATGTTGGGTCGGCGCGTACGCTAATA